GAAGAAAAGCAGCTGCCCGGCCAGCTGCCCATGGTGCTCAGCCAGGGTGCCACCAAGCTCCACGTGGGCAGATGCAAAGGGGAAGCCGCCCAATCAGCTGGAGCACGGTTCAGCCTCCTCTGGGCTGAACGCCACAGCCAGTAGGCCAGGCAGCTTCTCCTCTGCGCCAGCCCACAGCGCCATGGCCAGCTGGCCGGGCAGCTGCTTCTCTTCCCTCCAGCCCGGCTGCCCTGTGCTCAACCCAGGGAGGCTGCGCCTAGCTCCAGCTGTGAAAGCCACAGTTAGCTGGCTGGGGTGTTTCAGCCCTCCCGACCTTCCAGCTCCCACCATTCCTCGCAGCTACTCACCTGTGTTGTTGCTCAGTGAGTAGCTGCTCCTCAAATGAAGAAATCTAATGTAAATGTACTGCACAGGTGTGCAGTTCAGAGAGGGCTCAAGAGCTACTCTTAGAGCCCCTGAGATCTACTGGTAGCTCACGATCTACTGGTTGGTGACCACGGTCTTAAAGCATCAAGACTGCAGTTTGTTTCCTAGCTAGAACCACTGCAGTGGCCATTCTAATTTGCATGTGTGCCCAGTCCGCTTGTGGAATTAAGTTAGCAAAACACCCAGGCTCGGCTATGTCTACACTATGAGTTTTGCTGAAAAAGGCAATTCAAAATGAAGTGCGGATTAGCATTTTCTCACGCTTCATTTTCATAATCTTCTGATCCGTTTTTGCGCAAGGAGTTTTTGTGCAAAAACAAGCAGTGTGGACATTTCCTTTTTACGCAAAAACTCCTTTCTGCACAAGATCCTTATTCCTCAGAAAAGGAGATATACCGATCTTGTGCTAAAAGGGGTTTTTGCACAAAAAGGAAACGTTTTTGCGCAAAAGGGGGTCTGCACTACAAGTATGGCCAGAAGAGCTTATGCAAATGAAGCACAAGACAATGCTAATCCACGCTTCATTTGCATAGCCCCAGTGGTCAGTGCTTCTCTCAGCAGCATACTGCATTACTCCATTTCTGAAGAGCAGCAGTACCATGAGGGGAGAGTGGAGGGAAGAGTAAATGAGGCATACAGAAAACAAAGGAAATATTTACTTAAGTTCTCAAGGGTCACCTGGGAAGGTCTCTGCTTATCAGAAGTGTCACGGAAGCCAGGAGATATTTATGTACAAAATACAGGGAGTGGATAACAGGCAAATGCCAGACCAATAGCACAGCATGAGAGACTTACATGCCACAGTCATGTATTTGCCTGTTAAATTCTTTCTCAGCTCTGAATAAATGTCATCTTTAAGGGGGTTGCAATTTGGCTGCCTTCCAGAGGCTGAGGGTGGATTCCTGGTGCCTTGGTGGCTGGGTAAGAAGCCAAATCTCCAGGAATCTAGAAATTCCTGTCTTTCCAGATTTTTTTCTGTGGTCTACAGAACCAAGGCTTTCATTAAACAGGGATGGGGGTGGGAGTCACTGGTCTCCCAGAGAAACAGAGGCCTCTAGTTACAATCCTCTAGTAGCAAATGGTTCCAGAAAATACCAACCTCTGGGATCCAAGGGACGGAGATTTCCCCGGCTGGATAAACAGACCTATTCCTCACACCTCTTTGCTGTTCTTGGTTCTAAAAAACATGCAGATAAAAGGAAAGATCAACTTATAAGAAACTGATCACATACACCCAGGTTGAAAAGCTTTCACAAGTCCATGTGAAGATAGATACTGGAACTAGAGGTGCAGGGCTGCTGTCCCACCCCCTGGTTTGAAATGGTTTCTGTTATACTGTATATAGAGTTACAGTTTAGTTCAATGCAGCACCCCTGCAAGTGAGCAAACAGCATGTGCCCGGCGGCTTTGAAATGCAAATTTGCACAATAGATTAATTTATGTCTCAATATCAGTGACATCACAGCAGAATTTTGAAAAGCTTCCCCGCTCCATCACTAACTTCAAGAATTCATCAGCCAGTGATCTGTTGCACGTTATCTATTCATCCATCTCTTCCTCCCTCACCTCCTCCCTCCTTCGCTGGCAACACTTTCTGGGATAACCCACCACCATTCCCTCCATAATAACTTTCTCATTTCCATTTCTTTGCCTAACATGACCAAAGTATATGCTGTAAGTCTGAGTCTGTTTATTTCTGATATCAGGGCCTGCTTCTTTCCAATAATATTTCTACATAATTAAGTTGCTCCTAACTAGTCTCTACTTTCATTCACGTCAGCTGAAGGACCCAAGTCACCTTACTACTCCATTTGTCCACATCACAAACTTTGAGCTGCAAATGAATTGTTCACCTGTGTTTCTTCTCCAGAGCTTTGAGCAATCTCTATCGCTTCCTTTGTAAGATTATTCCTTAGGGTGCATCTACATTGCACAGTTATTTTGAGATAACTAGCATTATTTCAAAATAACAATGCGAGCGTCTACACAGCCACTCTGTTATTTTGAAATAATTTTGAAATAATAGATGGCTTATTCCAAAATCTATAAACCTCATTCTAGGAAGAATAACTCCTATAAAATAGTTATTTCAAAATAAGGCATGTGTAGACGCTCCACTGCAACTATTCTGTAATAGCTCCTCACCAGGGCCATTCTAATTTATTCCTCCCAAGTGCCTCCTGGGGCTGTAAACTGAGGTAGCATGACTACATTAGGGAAGCCTGCCTTGGACTAATTTTGAGGCTTCTCTGCAGTGCAGACGTGCTATTTCGAAATAAGTTACTTCAGAATAACTATTCCAGAGCAGCTTATTTCAAAATGAGCATGCAGTGTAGATGTACCCTTCGTGTGTGTGATATATCTGACCTTTCATTATGAACTTTTCCCAAGCTGGGATGGGGTGTACCAACCCTGCATTGGGTCTGTGGTGCCTGACCAATCGCTCTGGGGCCAGAACTCCCCCTCGCCCCCCACCCTCCTGCTGTGCTTGCTTCAGCTATCTGAGGAGGGGAGGAAGGATGTATACTTCAAGCTCCTGCAACTCTCCAAGCGGCAGGAAGGATGGACCCAGACTATACTGCAGATGACCAGACTATGGCAAGGGACTGACTGGGATGCTAAGCCACTGCCAACCAAAGAGATGCCCAAGATGTACCTTGCAAAAGGACCCAGGGAATGTAATGGAAGCTGATGCTTAAACCCTTAATAGGGGATTTCCTGGTTTCACAGGGCCCTGGGCAGTGATCCCTCTAAGGAGCCTTGAGCTTCTGATTGGGCAGGGCTGACTAATCACCTGTGAAGCTGTGCTGCCACGCACCTTATAGGGAACACTGGCCCTGGATTAGAACAGGGGCAGAAGGGTGGGGTGGGGGAAAGTAGGTGGGTGCAGATTTTCTCATTTCTTCTCCCTTTCACATATGCCACTATGTGTAGCTACTGCTTGCTCGCTTGCTCTCTCGCTCCTGCTCAGGGCGACAGATCGATTGTTTGCTCTGCCCTGCCCAGAGGGTCAGAACTCCCAGTTGCTATTGCCTGCCCCAGCCAGAAGGCTCAGGGGCCACAGAGTGATTGCTTTGCTCTGCCCAATCCAGACGCTACGAACTGAATGCTTGCTCAGCCCTGCCAGGGACCCTGGACCCTGCTTCCTGCAAGTTGCCTTATTCTATAGAGAGACCTGACGCCTGTGTAACAGGATGTACCAACCCTGCACTGGGCCAATAAGGGGGGGGGACGACTCCCTTGACATGCAGGTCCCCCCGCAACCTTAATCTTAAGCCTAAATTCTCCCTGTTTTAATTTCATCTCATAATTCTTACATATCCTTTCTTGTGCAATATATCTATAGGGTCAGAATCTCATCTCCACTGCACTGATGTAAATCCAGTGGAGTTATTCTGTGTATTTACATCGATGCAACTGTAATCAGAACTTGGTCCATGGCCTGCTCTCATTCTGATCACGTAGAGAGAAAAGACCATAGGAGCTGGGATCTGCACTCTAGACCTAGAAGGAGAATTTTCCCCAGAATGCTTAAGACGACCCCTGACCCTCCTTACCTGCTGTATTGGCTTCTGAGGATAGTAAAACTGAAGGTTTGGGTCCACAGCGGGGATGTTCCTGTTTGCCAGGGCTTTAGCCAGTTCCCTCCAGCTCCCATATCCTGCAAGGAGGAAGAGAAAAGAGATGTCAAAACCCGCTACAAAAAACAAGCAAGCAAGCAAACAAACACAATAATTTCAGGTTGCACCTCCTCTCTTTACAGTAACCTCCCTCTTGCCCCAGAAATATTCAGCCTGGCCAGTCAGGGTGCATCTACACTGAACCAGTAACTTGAAATAAGCTACGCAATTTGAGCTACACAAACTGCATAGCTTATTTCAAGTGCATTTTTAGAAATTTGGTGCTGTAGAGCACTATTCCGAAACATCTCTTAATCTTCATGGAACGAGGTTTACAGGGATGTCGGAATACTGAGCATGTTATTTCAAAACCTATTTTAAAATAATGGCTTGTTTAAAAGATGCAGAATAGCTATTTTGGGATACCAGAAGTATCCCAAAATAGAGCCACAGTGAAGATGTACCCCCAATGACACAACTCCTGCTTTGCTTTTGTCCAGCACCTTTTATTCAAGGTGCTTGAAGTACTGCACGAAAAGTTAACATCAAGTCTGCCACGACACTGGCTCTAATGAAGCCAGATCTGTCAGTGCCTCAGGTGGCTTCCTTAGCCCTTGTATCATGATGAAACTTTGAATTGGTGCCCCTAACCAACAGCCTTAGTGCTCCAGTCTTACAGCCCCCAAGCAGCCATATTGTAGGCAACATTCTCATTGTATATCTGAACTATATAAAAGGCCCTCAAGAACAAGAAGATGTCTGAGCCCTCGACCTCCTTGCCCCGCTGCCTCACCTGACCCTACCTTGCTGCTCTGCCTAACCTCCCCTCCCCAACCCACTGAACCAGCCCCATTAATTGAATTTTCTGGCTACTGATGCCTGAGAGAACTCAGACCACTCTCCAGACCGCCTCTGATACAGATTGACCTGGTTATCTGGTACACACTTGGCTACTGATCCAGACTGCTCCCAGTCCTGTCAACAGGCATTACAACCAATGAGCATTACAGCTGGCTCGGACCATTTCAGTATCTTCCTAGACCTGGGTGGGCAATAATTTTTGAGCGGGTCCACTTCAAAAAATTTTAAAGTGGTTGTGGGCTGCCCTAGAAGGGGCGGGGGGCTCGGGTAGAAGGGGTGGGGCCTTTAAATAGCAACAGTTGGAAGGGCTTGCACCTCCCCTGCAGCTCCCAGACATCATGTTAGCCGAGACAGAAGCTGTGAGCCCTTTTAATTCCTACTATGTAAAGGTCTCTCTGCTCCCGGCCTCGCTGCTAGCCCATTCCTAGGGGCCAGGGACACGTGAACCCTTTCAACTGTTTCTATTTAAAGGGCTTGCACCTAACCTGGGGCTGCCACTCCCAGCATCTATGGGTACAGTACCACAGGGGCCAGCCAGTCTCCAGGAGTTGACCGCTCCCTGACAGGTGAAAAACCAAGCCCTACATGTTGTAGTGCACCAGCTTCAGGCAGAAAAAAGCACCTTGCAAGAACAGATCATAGTGCCACAGGTGGAACCATCGCCTATGGTCCCATGGCCCATACTGCACATACCCACAGTTCCATTACCAGATATCTACAGTGGCACCTGCAGCAAATTTGGGGGGCTCCATTTCTTGCTGTGGCCCAATGACTACCAGATGGACCAGGCAAAAGGTGGCACTAGTCATTCTTTTCTAAAAGGTAAGGGCTGGACAGGATGATTCTCTGCTAAAGCACATATATCTCCCCCTATGCTAGAGGCCTATGCCTTCCTGAGGGCCTTTACCACAACCTTTAATGACCCACACCAAGCTGGCACTGAAGAGGCAGTCCTACAGAGACTCCATCAGGCCTTATGCAAAAAACAAAACACAGACACTACTCCCTTGCATGGAATATGACTGCCTGATTGACTTACAGCCTGGAGCCAAGACTCTGTTCAGCCAAATGCATTCCATGTTGGAACATGAATTAGCTGCCCTTAAGGATTACAGAATCTGACAATCTGGAGAGAAGTTTTCTCCTGCACATCCCTGGTGGGGCCCCTGTCCTCTTTATGAAAATGAATGATAGCTTCTTATGACTCTGTGTTGACTACTATACTCTAAATAAAATCACAGCTCAGAATTGATATCCATTACCCAGAGCTCTGGGATTGGGTAAGAGCAGCCTGGGAATTCACCAAGGTAAACCTCAGAGGGACATACAGCCTAGTTAGACTCCACTAAGGCAATGAATGGACAACCATTTTTTCGAACTTTGAATATCTGATGATGCCTTTGGGACTTACTAACCTTTCGGTATCCAATTAATGATGTATTACAAGATATAATGAACCAATGGGTCTAGTCACTTACTCAGATGACATCCTAACTTACTCTGATGACCAATCTATTCTCAACCAGCGTGTGCGCAAGGTCCTAGAAAGATTCTGATGACATGGGCTCTGTGCTAAGCTAGAGAAATGTGTCTTCAATCAGCCTACATTCTTAGGCTCCATTCTATCCGTTGACAGAGGCCACGTGGACCCTTAGAAGGTGCAAGTGGTTTGCGACTACACAACACCACGCATCAGTCAAGAAATTCAGCTCTTCGTTTGATTTGTGAGTTTCCATAGACGCTTTATATGAGATTACTTTTGAATCGTGAGCCCTACAACATCTCTGCTGAAAAAAACCACCAGAAGCCCAGGAAGGCTTTGATTATTTGAAAGTGAAGTTCCTCATGATGCCTCTTCTCACACAATCTGGCTGTGTCTAGACTGGCCAGTTTTTCTGGAAAATCAGCCGCTTTTCCGGAAAAACTTGCCAGCTGTCTACACTGGCTGCTTGAATTTCCGCAAAAGCACTGACTTCCTACTGTAAGAAATCAGTGCTTTTTGCGGAAATAGTATGCTGCTCCCGTTCGGGCAAGTCCCTTTTGCGCAAAACTTTTGCGCAAAAGGGCCAGTGTAGACAGCTGAGATTTGTTTTCCACAAAAGAGCCCCGATCGCGAAAATGGCTATCGGGGCTTTTTTGTGGAAAAGCGCGTCTAGATTGGCCACGGACACTTTTCCGCAAAAAGTGCTTTTGCGGAAAAGCGTCTGTGCCAATCTAGACGCTGTGTTCCGAAAATGCTTTTAACGGAAAACTTTTCCGTTAAAAGCATTTGTGGAAAATCATGCCAGTCTAGACATAGCCTCTATGTCTATACTACAGAGTTTTTGTGGAAAAATGGCTTTTTTCCCACAAAAACTCAGCGCGTTCACACCTCAAGCGCATTTTTGCACAAAAAATAGAAAGAACAGAGGGGTTTTTGCACAATAGTTATTCCTCCTTCTACGAGGAAAAACTTGTTTGCACAAGAGCTCTTGCACAAAAAAGCGTGCATGGACAGGGAACAGGGTTTTTTTGTGCAAAAAGAGGCCATCAAAAAAAGCATAGGTGCCCTGCTGGCCATTCTGTAAATAGCAAACAGAGTTTCTTTTTGAGAGAGCGTCCATGCTGTCTGAATGCTCTCTTCTGCAAAAGCGCATCGCTTTTTCAATGTGCTTTTGCAGTGTGGACGTACTCTTGTGCAAGAAGTTTTTGTGGAAGATCTCTTCTGCAAAAAGCATCCTGTTCAAGAAGCTTGCAGTGTAGACATAGCCACATTCTGGCCCAAGTTATCCATTCACACGGGAAACTAATGCTTCCAACATTGCCATTGGGGCTGTGCTGTCTCTGAAACAAGTCCTCAACCAAGATGTTCATCTTTGTACATATTATTCCTGCAAGCTCATGCCTGTCGAGCACAATTATGAAATTTTAGACAAGGACATATTTGCCTTCAAAATGGTTTTTGAGACCTGGAGGCACTGTTTAGAAGGGATCAGACACCCACTTCTGGTGTTCACTGGTCACATAAATCTGTGCACTGCTGTAGCTCTAATTCAATGACAGCTACGCTGGGCTCTCTTTTTTTCTAGGTCTGATTTTACTATCATCTACCATCCTGGCTTCCACAACAGGAAAGAAGATGGTGTGTCTGCAAAGAAGAGTATGCCAGCGATTCTAGGAATCCAAAGAAGAGCTTCCAGCATCCTGAAATCATATCACTTCCTTGGCAGAGCATCTAGCCAATTTCTTCATGACCATACTGTTGATAGATATTCAGCTGCAAATGTGCTGCCCCAGCTCTGCTCAGATGGCACATCAGACCTCCAGTGAGCCACCCAACGACCACAAGATCTATTAAGGTCTGAAGGCACCAGACCAGGTTTATTGCCAACAATGCACAGAAACAGACTTTGGCAGACTCTATGAGGATACTAAGACATGCATGCCTACGACAAGAGATGCAGCTCAGTGAGTGACAGGACTTTCCATTCCCCCCTTCAGCTAGATGAAGACACTCCCTCTGAGACTGCATTTTATACATCACTACACACAAGTTATTTATTACCCCTCTGACAAAGTTAGTGAACACCCTTTGACATTGCCAATTAACATCCATCACCTTGTATGTTTCTATCCATCACACTGTCATGCTGACTTTATTTTAAGGAGGTCCATGTGTTCCTGTTATTTTGGGGGAATGTGTTTGTTTCATATTTGGCGTGGGGTGTTCTGGTATCATCCTTCTGGAAGATACTTGTGTGTTTTGTGCCTAGCACAATGTCTGTTTTTGCAGTATTAGCCTTCTTCTTGTCTGATTATGTAAGCAGGGCCTGTCTCTTGCTCACAACTTAAACTTTGCTTTATAGCAGCCAAGTTTTACTGATACTTAGCCCAGGCCTCAGATACAAGGGCTTGTGTTTCAGACCTTCTTCCTACTACACATACTTTCCTCCCTACCAAATGGGTCCTTTGCCCGGACACTCCAAACTTCCAAACTGAATCATAGGGTAAATTGACACAGAAAAATGGACTTCTCCTAGTTCTCAGAGGAAACTATGTCTCTGAGGGACAATCGTTTTTTGGCTCCTGTATGCATTTGCCATGTCATCCCTTGAGCTTAGGGTTACTAGGTAGGTTTAGAAAAAATACCGGACACACTTGATTGGGGGGGGGAGGAGGGGCTGGCCGAGGGCGGGGGGAGTGCGGGGTAAATTGACACAGAAAAATGGACTTCTCCTAGTTCTCAGAGGAAACTATGTCTCTGAGGGACAATCGTTTTTTGGCTCCTGTATGCATTTGCCATGTCATCCCTTGAGCTTAGGGTTACTAGGTAGGTTTAGAAAAAATACCGGACACACTTGATTGGGGGGGGGAGGAGGGGCTGGCCGAGGGCGGGGGGAGTGCG